CACACGCACACACACACACACTTCCCACCCTCTTATCCCCTCCCCCCTCTCTTTTCCCCTCTGTCCCTCCTTCCCACCCTGCCTGCCTCTAACCTCGAGTTGTCTATCGCTGTCTGTAACCAGACACACGGGCCCTCAGAAGAAGAAAGGCGAGGTGAGAACTGCCCTGGCAGGACCACCCCCCGGCAATTACTGCTTTCTTATTATGCAAACAATATGCACGGTGCACAGCTCAACGCCATTGTGTCTATCTATCGGACCCGCTCACAACGAGCAGTTGTCTTTGTTCTCTCACTCTCTCAAAATTTTTTCTTTCCTTTTTGTCTTTGTTCTGTTTCCCTTAGGATGTCTACGATATAGAAAGTGGAGATTCTTAAACTCTTAGGGGTGTTAGAAAAGAGACGGGAAGGACACTCCCGCTCAACTTCCTTCTTTTTTTTTTTTTTACACACACACACGCACATTCGCGTACTCATACCCCCCCCTCTCCCCCTCCCTCTCTTTGTTGTACATATAAATTATTATACTCATTGGTTCGCTTCCTCATACGTATGCATGTACATATGTTATATGCATGCAGCACACACACACACACACACACACACACACACACACACACACACACACTCACGAACACACGCATGTATGCACTCATACACGCTCCTTTCTCTTTCTCACTCATACACAAAAACACGCTGCACACACACACACACATACACACACACGCACTCACACACACACATACACACACACGCACTCACACACACACACACACACACACATAAACACACACACCACACATACAACTATGATACAACAAATAGTAGAAAGCAAGACAATAAAACGAACCTAAACTCGCTAACAAAAACAAAAATGCAGCTCCCAAAACAACTCTACCAACATCGGTACTAACATCATGAGTGACTATTGCATAATATCTTGATCTTGTGACGTGCTCTTGTTGCTATATTTCTGTTCCTGAGCCTGTGTGTGTGTGTGTGTGTGCTTACTTTCCCCCTCCTATGACGAACTGGGTGTGGGTGTG